GATAGATCCTATTGCAAATGCATATGGAATCTTACTCATGCGATCCCTTTCTTCCTTAGTTGAAGGGGATTGTGTTTTTGATAGATACAGACCATGTTGCATAAGTATGAATCCTTTCTTGGAATCATGTATATTAAAATGTCTCAGCACTTTGTCTATGTATGTACTCTGACTTAGGCCAAACAATTTTAGTGATCTATCTTATATATCCTTATTCCTAATATATAGGCTGCTTCACCAAGGTCTTTCATAGAAAATCATTTCCCTAACCAAGTTTTCACTTGTCGCAAGGTAGGGACATCGTTTCCAATGAGTAATATGTTATCTACATATAATACCAGGAAAATGATCATGCTCTCACTAACCTTCTTGTAGACACAAGGCTCATCTTGATTCTTTATGAATCCATATTGTTTTATTGTTTCATCAAAACGAAGATTCCAACTTCTGGAAGTTTGCTTCAATCCATAGATTGATCGCTGTAACTTGCATATATTTTGGGCTTCTTTTGGTATGTCAAATCCCTCAGGTTATATCATATACACATCCTTAAGAAGATTCCCATTAACAAAATCACTCTTGACATCCATCAGCCATATTTCATAATCATGATATGCAGCAATAACAAGTAAAATTCGAACAGATTTAAGCATTGCAACTGGTAAAAAGGTTTTGTAACACCCTTAACTACCATAAAACAATAATCAGATATTTTAACTAGAAAATATAACCACAAGAGTGTCACACACATCAAAACACATAACCTGCTCCGTAACACGGGTTACCACTAAAATAAATTCAAATGCACATAGTTATACCTGGGATGTCACACGACATCCAACACATATGGTTTGTATTTGGGATGTTACACGACACCCAACACATCTGATTTTGGTTAAGTACTTATATAATAAGGCATTTAACACCTGCCCTCGCATGCTCACCTGAGATTTTATGGTATCATCGCAGCGAAATCACTAATAAACATGCAACAATAGTATTGTAACTCAAGACAATAAGTCTCAAGATTTTCAATTTAATAACGTAGTCAAAAGTGTATGGCAATCAACTCAAAACAACTTAAAATATCAACAACACAAAAAGTTTGTAACGTCAATAATAATGACACAAAAATCAAACTAAGCGTTTAACTCAACCCGATGTTACATGATCAGAGCAAGGGACCACTAAAATAAAAGCGACAAACTACGTAAGTCACTCCAAGGATATCTTCCACTTGCTTCAACAATGCTACTCCTGAGTATCTGCACAATGCCCATGTAAAGGCAACATTCAAACAGAAGGGGTGAGAATAAGATTCAATAATAACAGTAAAAGAAAATCGGAAGTAGATTAATCTAACAACATCACACACAAAATACAACAACATAGGCATAACAAGTAATTCTCATCCACACAACATAATATCAAATTAATCACCAAATGCAACACAAATGAAAATGTACTCGACAACCGACTCAACATGCATGTGGTACCAAATTATAAACACTTAGGTCCATTTCACTCCATGATCCCCACCATAGGATCGATTCCCTCTTGGAACCAGAGCACACCAAAATCGCTACCATCACCATACGCAACACTTCACTAATTCCTCAATAGAATTAGCTACCCGCACTTTATCCCCACCATAGGATCAAGACTCACCAAAACTGGAACGAAATCCGTACAACATGATGCATGAACTCACAATAACATGCATTATCACCAAAATAATCACCAAATTAATTACAAAAACAATCACAAAATTAATCACCAAAACAATCACAAAAATAATCACCAAAATAATCACCAAAATTATCACCCAAAATTATATCCAAAATTATTATCCAAAGTTAACTAGAATTATTATCCAAAATTATCATTAAGAGCCAGGTGCCACTTGTAGGGAATTGAGATGCAGAAGAATATGATTCTTCCGCTGAGTAGTCCTATAAACATAAAAAGTAGCTTTATAACATTCAAATGATCAACTATAATATATTGATGAGTATCTTATACGAGGAGTCTTAGAAATTAAATCATAAACTATTACAATACATTATGATTTTACTATCAGGACCTTAGTCATTTTATCTTGTCTATTATAATACATCCATGATAAACTAACATGATTTCTCTCAGCATCATCCTAAGTTTTCATAATCATACCTATTTAAATCATTATAAAGAGAAATAAGATACTATTTACTTAGTGCCAACTATAGCCAATCATATATTCATTATATTCTTGGTATAAAGGACACATTTGATGTGTCCCACTATGACACAGAATGGTGTAGCACTAGGGCTCCTACGTCAGACTGCCTCTAGCATCATTCACACTAACTCTAAGTATTAAGAGACTAAGAGCATCCACACTCGTTATCTCCATTTTATTTTTTTAGATGGAGTCCACACATTTTTTTATATTATATTTCACTTCAATATTTTATAAACAACCCAATTATATTTTTCAAATATTCATACAACCCATCAAAAACTCTAAAATGAGTCACACCAAATCTCAGAATATATCCAACATTTTAATTATATAAATAAATAATTGAAACAATTTAATTCAAATATATCAAAATACATTAAAAAATTATATATTTAAAATAAAATTATATATATATATATATATATATATATATATATATATATATATATATATATATATATATATATATATATATATATATATATATATATATATATATATATATATATATATATATATATATATATATATATATATATATATATATATTAAAAAACACAATACATCACACAAATAATTAATTAAAAAATACATTATTAAAATAAGTTACTAGCACAAAATACAATAAAAATATATATTTAAAATATCTTTCAATTGTTGTTATTCTCATGTCTATAACGTTGTCGTATATGTTCTATCAAGTCTTGTTGAAGGTGTCGATGAACTTGTTTATCACGAATATCAAATCTTCTACGCATGAACTCTTGAAAATCAATATTAGAATCATTCGACAATATTGTCGCATCATTACTCAAATGATCATAAGAAAAATCAAAATTTCCACCATATGTTGCACGTTCATCTTCAACAATCATGTTGTGTAATATGATGCATGTATTCATTATGCGCTGGAGTGTGTCTAAGTGCCAAGATCATGATGGATTACGTATGATCGCAAATCGGGATTGAAGAACTCCAAATGCTCGTTTAATATCCTTTCTTGCCCCTTCTTGATGTTGGGCAAACAATTTTCTCTTATCCCCTTGTGGCATCAGGATACTTTTTACAAACGTGGCCCATTCAGGATAAATATCATCTGATAGATAATAGCCCTTGTTGTATTCAGTATGATTGATTGTATAATGAACCTCGGGAGCTCGTCCTTGCAGAACATCGTTGAAGACATTGGATTGGTTCAACACATTAATATCGTTGTTTGAACCCGCTACCCCAAATAATGCATGCCAAATCCATAAGTCTTGTGAAGCCACTGCTTCAAGCATAACAGTTGGTTTCCCATGATCGCCTCGAACATATTGTCCTTTCAATGCAACAGGACAATTTTTCCATTCCCAATGTATGCAGTCAATGCTCCCTAACATACCTGGAAATCCCCGTGCCTCTCCCATCTGCATTAAGCGTTCAATGTCTTCGGCGTTTGGCCTTCGCAAATATTGTGCACCAAAGATGTTGATCACTCCTCGTGTAAACTTATCAACACATTTTAGTGTCGTGGTTTCACCAATTCTCAAATAGTCATCCACACTATCAGCATATGTTCCATATGCCAACATACGGATAACAGCAGTGCATTTTTATAATGGTGAAAGACTTGCCCTACCTGTTGCATCAACCATCATTCGAAAATACTCATCATGTTGACCTAGAGCTTCAACAATATGAAGGAACACATGTTTATGCATTCGGTACCTTCTACGAAACTGCTCATTTGTGTATATCGGAGTTTCTGAAAAATAATCTTTGAATAATCGTTCATGTCTCTCTTCACGATTCCTCTCTATATTCCTTCTTTGACGCCTAGGCCTTCTAGAGCTCGGGGCTTCTTCTTCCATAAACAACCTCACAAGTTCTTCATCCATGTCATCATTCATATAATCCATAAACATTTTTGCAATGTGGGAAGGATTGGAAGGATCCATGTGAAAAGAAGTTTGATATTTAGTATAAGATGATAACAAATTGTAAAAAATGCAAGATGTTAATACTATTTATAAGACTACTTTGAATAACAACTAGTTTGAATAACGGCTAGTTGGACTTTGAATAACGGCTAGTTTGACTTTGAATAACAGCTAGTTTGAATAACGACTAATTTGATTTTGAATACGTAATCATACTAATTAAGTCGATATTAATTAATTCCAAAATACATAATCATACTAATTAAGTCCCAAATACACAATCTTACTAATTAAGCCCAAAATACATAATCTTACTAATTAAGCCCAAAATACATAATCTTACTAATTAAGCCCAAAATACATAATCTTACTAATTAAGTCCATATTTTTCTCTAATCATGTCGCACAACATATCATGAGCTTGTAGTTGTCTTGTATCCATATTTGATGTATCTTTTGAGAGTATTTGTAGATCATTCATCTTCAATCTCTCCTCAGCACGCTCAGCCTTCTTAATCTTTACATCAACCTTTTTTCTCTCTATCTCAACTTTTTCACCCTCGATGCGTGCATAGTCCCGTGCAAACATTGACATCAGATCAATATTTTTTTAAAGTCATCTTTCAAAGAATCATATTTGACATTGGGAGTAAAAGACATTTCCATAAGCTTTTCTTTCTCCTTCCTTTTGGCTGCCTTTTGACCGATTGGACGGCGAGACAAAGTAGGTGATGATGGATCGTGTTCGCTGCTTATTTATGGATTAGAAGATGAAGAATATGCTCCTGAAGCTGAATTCTTTGTTCTTTTTGTAGAAGCTTTTGATGAACCTGCGAGCCATTTAGGTTCACCTTTCAATAATCTCCATGCAGCTTCAAAAGTAACTTTTCACCTTCATCTTGGAAATAGATTTTATATGCAGCTTGCATGATATTACTCTCAGAACTCCCACTTTGTTGTGTAGACACAGCTTGTTTGTAGCATCCAACAAACTTTTGAATAGATGGATTGATTTTATGCCATCGACATTTTAGTTGTGTTGGTTTCCTCTCTTTGTAGTTAATGTCACAATGCTTGCTGTAAGCTTCACCGATCCGCTTCCAAAAACTATCTCCTTTTTGATCAACCCCAACAATTGAATCTTTTGAAATGTTGAACCATGATTGAATGAGAATTTCATCCTCTTTTTGTTGGAACCTTTGTTTATGCGTATTCACAACACGTACGGATGCAACTTCTTCACCAAGGTTAATCGTTTCTAAGCTACCTTGAGTGCAAAATTGTGGTGTTTCATCTTCTTGATCATTTGATTGCGCACCACTACTGCCTATTTGAGCCCCATGAGGCATAGTGGGGTTAGTTGATTGAGATGTAAATTGTTGATATTGATATGGATAAGGTGGTGGATGATATGAGTAATTTCCAAAGTGTGGATTATTTTGTGGATTTAGGATAAAAGGTGAGTTTTGAAAATTTGGATTATGGTGTGGATTTGAGATAAAAGGTGTATTTCTAAAATATGGATTACTTTGTTGATTTGGAATAGAATGAGGACTACCACCATTTTGCATAAAATTAGACCAAGGATTATGTTGATTGGGATCCATTGACAAACAAATGTGTAGAAGAAAAAAATTTAAGATGAGATAAAATCAATAGTTCAAAGTTAGATAAGTTGTAAATGAAAATTGTAGTAAAATTAATAACCTATTTATAAGAATGAAAAATATTACCGTTAGTTTATTAATAAATTAAAATATTGTTCACTTTAATTTTTAGTCATTAATTTAATATTATCATTAATTTAATTTTTAGTTATTAATTTAATTTTTAGTCATTAATATATTCATTAATTTATAGCCGTTACAATTTAATATTGGCCTGCAATTGGAATATTACCGTTGAATTATTCTATCAAGAAAATATTACCGTTACATTTATTATAGTGGTTTTATCATTAATATTAATTTTGTCATCAATACTACATTTATTATTATTGTCCAACATGGCATTTGTAGAACCGTTGTTTAGTTTGAATACGTTGTTTAATTAGAAAACACATTGAAGAATAAATTATCCATCTTCTTCTGACATCGTTACTTTGGAATCTGTGTAGCAATGCCATTTAAGCACAGATAATCATGCTCTAAATAGCCTACTCTGGCAAATGTCAGCTCATGGCCTGAAGGCATTGAACAAGTAAAGTAATCATAATCTCTTGGTAAGCATAAAACAGGTTCTATGATTGCGTATTTGCAATCAATTAATACTAAACAATGCCTATTTTATTATAAAATTAGTTTATACATAATACTTCTATAATAAATAATTATTCAATAAGCACCTATGTAATAACTCTCTTGAACCAGTGTGGTTATTCTGTAAGACTAATTACACCAAAATCAAGCTAACAAATACAACATAGCCAATACAAATAAGAATTTTTATATCAATTCTTTAATAATTTTATCATCAATCATGAATGCAACTCAAATATTTAAACATTTATCAAAGTAAATTGCGGAATCCTAAAGAGGCAAAAACCTCCCTTATCTACCCTATCATGCAATACACACATATTAGTAGCCCTTTTTCATCCATTATTTTGAATTTTCAGCAAGCACTCTAAACTCTTCAGCAATGGTGGTTTTTTCTCTTTAAGTTTTGTCCTTCCCAATTGCTCTTGTTGCCTCTTTTTTCCCAAAATACGTAGTACACTCTCAGACTCTCCAAAAGTCTATTCTATTCCAACGCCTATTTTCTTCTAATTAGGTTATTCATCTTTTACCCTCAACTTATTCTTATTTTTCTCATAATACCCTTACTCCTCTTACTAACTCTAATGGATGGATATTTATATTTATCTTAATATTTATTCTAATAAATCAATTTTCCATAAAACTTTATTATTTCCCTTATTTTTCTATAACATCTTATTTTCCAACTAAATCTCACCATTTTATTTTATTCTACTTATTAATTTTTTCAAATAAAAATCTATCTATTTTAATAATTAATTAAAATTCTCATTAATTCAAAAAATTAAGTCAAACTCTTACTCTTTCTATACCTCTACTTCAAAGGCACTTACCCCTACAATCACACAATAATTAATTTAAAACATCAATTAATTAAATAAAAATATAAATAATTCAAATTAAGTTAATTAATTGAATTTGGGGTGTTACAACTCTCCCCCACTTAAGAAATTTTTATACTCGAAAATTACCTGAAGAAAACAGAGTCGGATACGACTCTCTCATTTGATCCTTATGCTCCCAAGTCATGCTCCCACCAGCTGGTCCTTCCCAAAATACCTTTACCAAGACAATTTCTTTACTCCGCAACTGCTTCACCTCTTAATCCTCTATCTGCATGGGTGATGCCTCAACAGTCAAGTTATCTCCCACCTGCACATCATCCACTTGGATCACATGAGACGGATCTGGAATGTATCTCCTCAATTGAGACACATGAAATACATCATGAAGATTAACAAGCAGTGGCGGCAAAGCAATCTAATAGGCCACCTCTTCTATCCTCTGTAAAATCTAGTACAGACCATTAAAACGTGGTGTGAGCTTTCGAGATTTTAAGGCTTGACCAATACCAGTTATCGGCGTAACTCTCAAAAATACATGATCTCCCTCCTGGAACTCAAGTGCTTTCGTCCTCTTGTCATCGTAAATTTTCTGACGACTCTGCGATGCTTTTATCTTTTCTTGGATCATCTTGATCTTTTCAGTCGTCTGGTGAACAATCTCAGGTCCGAGCATAACACTCTCGCCTGACTCATACCAACACAAAAGAGTCCTACACCTCCTACCATACAATGCCCCGTACGATGTCATTCCAATAATAGAATGTTAATTATTGTTGTAGGTAAACTCAATCAACGACAAGTAGCTATCCCAAGCCCCTCCTTGTTATAGCACACGAGCCTTCGGCAAATCTTCCAATGACTGGATGGTCCTCTCGGTTTGACCGTCTGTCTGTAGATGGTAAGTAGAACCCAACCTCAAATTAGTATCCAAAGTCGTCTACAAACTGCCTAGAACCTCGATGTGAATCTCGGATCTCTATCAAACACAATACTTGAAGGAATACCATGCGGTTTCATAATCTCATCAATATACAATTCGGTTAGCTTCTGCAATGAATAATTGATCCTCAACAGTATAAAATGAGTTGATTGGGTCAATCTATCAACAATCACCCAAATTGAATCATATCCCTTCAAAGTCTTCGGTGGACTTGTCACAAAATCCATAGAAATGCTATCCCATTTCCACTCTAGAATATTCAACGGTTGCATCAGACCCAACGGTTTTTGATGCTCAATCTTCGACTTCTGACAAGTCAAACAAGCATACACAAACTCAACCACTTCCTTCTTCATTCCTGGCCACCAAAACAATTTCTTCAAGTATTGATACATTTTTGTGGCACCAGGATGAATACTTAACCCACTTCTATGACCCTCCTCAAGAATGTTCTTCTTAATTTCTGGCACCTCTAGAACACACACCATATCTCTGAACCTCATCACACCATTCTTATCAACCCAAAAATCACCCCCGTTACCTTGGTTGATTAACGTAAGACGACCCACCAAACTCAAATCAGATTTTTGACCTTCTCTGATTTCTTAGAGAATACCACTAGTCAGCTTCAGCATACCCAACTTCACACCGTTAGGAGTCTCTTCACACACTAGACTCATATCTCTGAATTGTTCAATCAGTTCTAACTCTTGAACCATAAGCATTGACATATGTAAGGACTTCCTACTTAATGCATCAGTTACAACATTAGCCTTACTCGGATGGTAACTCTGAAGGTGAGATAATACTTAGAAGGGGGGTTGAATAAGTATGAAAGATTAAAACTTAGAATTAAAACACAACTATTTTTATCCTGGTTCGTTGAACTCAACTACTCCAGTCCACCCTTCCTAGAGTGATTTGCCTTTCTCAACAAGGACTTAATCCACTATTTAATCAAACATATTACAATAGTAACACCTAAGAACAACTGTTCTTAGTCTTCTCAAGAGCTACTGATTCCAACTGAATCCTCTTAAGGAAATCCTTTACAATCAATGTAAATCTAATACAAGAGTAAGAATGCTTCTAAAAAGCTTTTATCACAACAGTGATATTTCTCTTAAGTTTAAGTACAATTAATTCTAAGAATGAATATGAAAATATGAGAGCTTGAATGTTTCAATTTCTTTTCAGCAAAATGTCTAACTGAAGAATTTGGTGGAGTCTTGCTTTTATAGGCAGCTGATCCAAGGTGAGCTGCACGTTGAGAAGAGTGTCCCAAAAAGGTCTGAGCCTTTTTGTCTTCACATCAAGTGACCTTTCCTAGAAGAAGAAAACACAGAAAAATCCTTTTTGTCTGTGTTCTTGTGTCTAGCACAAATAAGGAAAGAGACGTTTGATTTACTCCAACGGATATAATCTTTGAATATTTCTTCTTCAGTTTTCAGCAAGTTCATCAGAGTCTGATTGGGTCAGAGTCTTCTAATGATGATCAGAACTTTGCTGTATCAGAGTCTTCTGCAGCATGTGTGCTTTTAGCGTGTTAATCATCAGAGCATTTTTGAAACAGAACTTCAGTACTGGCAGCTTTAGTACTTTCAGAATCTTCTGTAGAAACTATGCTTTGAAAAACTCTTCATACAATATTCTTCTTTGCTTCAGATGCTTCTGACTTGCTTCAGATGCTTCTGCTTGCTTCAGATTCTTCTGGAGCTTCTGCTTCAGAATCTTCTAGAGCTTCTTGCCTTAGATCCTTCTGGAGGCTACGCTCAGGATCTTCTGTTAGCAGCAATCAGAATCTTCTAATGTATGCATCTGGCGCTACAAATTCTAACTAGTTTCTTGTATTCAATTCTGATTTGCTTCTGGAGTGTTAATATCTTTACTATCTGCAGTAAAAACTCTCAAGCAAATTTTAGAGTATATAATTCTTAAATACAAAATTTCCTAATAGTTATCATCAAAACATAGAGATATTATTAAGAACCAATCTGTGTTCTAACAATCTCCCCCTTTTTGATGATGACAAAAAGCATCAGAAATTTTGTTTAATTGAAAATATTAGAATTATAACTCCCCCTGAGATGATGAATCTCCCCCTGAGTTAAATACAGAAAAGGAATAGAAACTTCCCTTTTGTCTTGAGTAATCTTCAGAGTTAGATCTTGTTTGTTCTTTTAACATTTGAAGGTCAGAATGTCTTGCAGATTTAATGTTCAGAGTTTGATAATGGTCAAATGATCTGAGAGACTCAGATTTTCTTTTATAGAATTTACTTATCAAATGTTCTGAAATAGTCAAATTAAATGTTAGATAGAATAAATATGTCTGAAGTTTCATTCTGGTGAAGTTATATTAAACAGTTCAGATCTATATTTTCTCCCCCTTTTTTGTCATAAGCAAAAAGTAGAACTTTAAAAAGACAAATAAAAGGAAATAGTAAATAAGATAAATCAGTGGAGAAAAAACTTTGATTCATTCAATAGATCAAGAGTACATGCATCAGAAGATATAGCAATAAAGTACATAGGCAAAACATCAGATGCAAAAACATTAGAATG